GGGGGTCTCGGGTGGTGGGGTGGAGCGGATGGGGGTCTCTGTGGGGACCCTGGTGTCCAGCTCCGTCGCTGGGATCCAGGCGGTGAGGGTGAGCGTGCTGAAGGCACGGGGCAGAATCCAGCAAATCCCGGATTTGAGAAGCACTGATGTTTTCTCTCTGGTGCCGCTGTGACGGCCACGGGATTTGCACTTTGGGGGTCCGTGCGTGCAGGAAGCTCCCTGGGCTGCTCCTGGATACAGGAGGATGGTGTGGGTCGGTAGGAGCCGGCGTTGCTGGCATTGGCAGAGCGGGCAGCCGAGGCGAGGGCTCAGAGCGTGGAGCAACGCCGGGCGCATGCTGGCTGCCCCGTGTGCCGTGTTCGGAAAAGACGGTATCTGAGGGTTAATTTGAAAGTGTTCGAGCCCTCGCCTGACCCTGCACCAAGCCCTGTCCTATTTCTGTAATTTTTTCTGGGCAGTTAAAGCAGTTCTAATCCTGTAATCCCCATCCTAGTTGCTCCAAACCAAAACATCTCTTCCAGAGCGACTCCCTCCGCCAGCCCCTCGCTGTTACCTGCCTGACCCTCCTCCTAACCCACAGCAGGCATGTGAGAAGATAAAACCCCTCCTCGGTCGTTTCTGGAACGACTTCTGGTCCTAGCTCTGTCCCCTGGGATGCGCTGGGCACTGTCAGGTCCCCGGGACCCCCAGTCCCCCCGCAGGGGCTGCTGCAGGGGAGCTCCCCCCGGGAAGCGTCAGACCCGGCATCAGTGAAGCACCGGCTCACCCCGGCTTAAAGTGTGAATGCCCGAGTGTGCCCGTGGGTGTGAATTATGTATAAACCTCGCTCCGTACGTGAGCAGACAGCCGTGTTCTCACCTGCTCGCAGGCAGAGCGCTGCGATTTTCGCTCGCACAGACCCATCCCCAGGGGAGCGAATCTTGTGCTTTTTATTCAAGTGAATTCTAACCCGCAGCGGCGAGGGCAAAGCAGGAGCAAACACTTAAAAGCGTGAGCCCGCTCTGTGTCTGTACTAACAGGGTTTCTCTGTGCATGTCCTGGATGTTTGAAGTGCACTTTCATGCGGTTGCATTCTCGGTGGCAGAGACAGTTTTGTTCTGGGCCGCCGCAGTTTGTGTCTGGGTGCGGGGCTGGTCAGGAGGTGGGACGGGGGTGGCCGCACCCCGATGCCTGTCACCCCAGGGTCAGGGATGCTGCTGGGTTGTGTGCACAGGACAGACACATCCAGAGCTTTTGGCCCTTTAGGGCATTGTGATTATTCACAGTTAAAACCAGGCGTAGCAGCTAAAAATGAGCAATAGCAGAGGAAAGTCTTCCATTGTGACAACTGGGCCACAGTGATCCAGAGCCCCCCGACTGCTGAATTTCTGGAGCAGGGAGCCCGCGTGCAGACACCCGGTTAGCTGCCGGGGAAGCACCGCGCTGCAAACCTCTGGCTGCAGGAGAGAGATCTGGTCGGTGTGTTCCCCAGCACCCGGGGAGCACTGGAGTGTCCCAGCAGAGTCATGCTTCCTCTGCATGGGATCTGCGTGGGCAGTTCGTGGGTGTGCACACACTCGCACATGCAACGGAGGGGGACAGAGCATGACG